TTTGGATACCTTCTAAAATCCCTTCCAGCTCTAAATCTGGGATCAAGGATCCTAGTATGATTGCACGGCTCCAGTCTCCCTTATCTACTCCCCGCTCTTTGTGAACTATGGATCTTTAATGTCATGCTACTCTCTCTGTTCAGTCGCAGCCAATCAGCATTCTTGACTGGTAAGGCCATAGAAGACTCCCTATCCTTGCCTTTTAATTTAATATTCCTGGAAAATTGGTAACAAACTTGCTCCCATCCACCTAAAATCAAAAACTTGATCTTTATTATCCACCTTAGCACCTTCTATCCACTCAGTTGTCAAACCTCTCAGTCAATTCTATGCCAAGCAATCTGGACCTGATCAAAGTCTTCTAAATTCTGTTTCCTTCAATACAGTTTAAGAATTGTCTCTTTCTTTCTTTTTTTTTTTTCTCGAGGCAGTTGGGGTTAAGTGACTTGCCCAGAGCCACACAGCTAGTAAGTGTTACGTGTCTGAGGCTGGATTTGAACGTAGGTCCTCCTAAATCCAGGGCCAGTGCTGTATCCACTGCACCACCTAGCTGCCCCAGAATTGTCTCTTTCTAGAGGCAGCTAGGTGGTGCACTCCGGCCTTGGAGTCAGGAGGACCTGAGTTCAATTCTGGCCTCAGACACCTGATACTAATAGCTGTGTAACCTTGGGCAAGTCACTTAACCTCAACTGCCTCACTTAAAAAAAAAAAAGAAGAGAGAGAATTGTCTCCTCCTTTTGGCCAACAGTTCTTTCTACATGTCTGCCAGTTTGCTTTTACTTAAAATACAAACCTTATGAACCTCCTTAAAGAGATTAACGAAATAATAGTTGTAGACTGTGGCAAATGCTGTCAGATTTGATCCATGTATTAGTTTGCTTTACATTTTTTCTCTTTTTACAAGGTTCACTGGGAAGAAAACTACTATAACAATGACTGTCATATTAAAACTAATGAAATCAAAACTTTTGTAAAAATAGAAATTTCATGTCATTTACCTTCTTGACACCCCCACTTTTCAGTTTTTTTAAATGTGGTCAGGAAAGCTTCCAAGGTGGAAGCTCACTGTATCACCTTTTCAGGTGACTTTAATGGCTTTTAATTTTTCATCTGTAATCTTTTTCACATAAACTCTGAATTGGTAACTCCTCGATTTTTACCTCTTCTGGGCGTTACTTGTGGAGAGCAACTTTCAGTTAATGGAGGGAACTCATGGAGTTATAGATGAAAAGTCCTCCTAATTCTTCAGCCTTTTTGCCATCCCAGGGCATTCAGCTTGGCAGGGTTCTAGTAAAGATATTTTCAGAGGATCTAGAACAGAGGTTCTTACTCTTTTTTGTGTCTTGGACCTCTTTGTCAGGTGGAAGCCTATGGCTGCCTTCTGAGAACAATGTTTATAAATGCATAGAATAAAATATATAATGTTTTAAAATAATCCAAAGATTAGTAAAAATAATGATGTCATTTTTCTCCATCCAAGCTCCTGAACCCCCTGAAATCTATACTTGGATCTGAATTTAGGAACCCCTAACCTAGAGATACTTTATTAATGGAGACAAACCGTTATTGTAAGGTAGCAGTTCTGAATTCACATATCTCATGAAGCCAAACTTTTGGAAAATCTTTGCTCTGAAGGTGGCTCTTCACATACTTGAGGTTTGGTTTGGTTTGCTTATTGGCTCTAATATTTACTGCCTGTAATTTTGTTCAGTGTATTGCAATTCAACAAAGAGCTTTTGAGCACCCACTTTGTGTAAAGAAAGCTCTGTGCTGAACCCTGCTGGGTACAACTCCCAGGGGCCAGTTTCCTTTAACTCTGCTTCCACCTGACTCTATACCCCAGCTGCAGCCCACGGTTAGGGTTGGAACAAGGAAGGGTTTTCATTCTTTTGTTTTGTCCTCACTCTCCCAATATTTTTCGTAGCCACTAGATGGTGACACGTAAGTTTAACAAGGCTTGCAAAGTGGAGAAATCGTGGAAATAAGTATCTTCCTAATGAAGGTTAAAAAAAGTAAGATATCTTTATGATCTGAAAATGTCATTATTAGGTGAAACAAATTACAAATCAAAAGAAACAACAGATCCAGATCCAAAATAAACAAATGCAAATGAAATGAGATAATCCCCCCACTTGGCTGTCTTCAGATTTGTATTAAATTCACTTTTGCCTACTCTCCCTCAACCTCATTCTCAGACCAAATTAGGTCTTTTAAAATTTGTTCTCATAATTCACTCCATCTTAGATTATTTTTTTTCTCCTCACAGAAAACCTGGGACAACCACCTTTGTTCATTTGGGTGCTATCTTCTTTGTGCCACCTAAGCAGGTTCACCTGGTACGGAGGCCTGCCCGTCCTTTCACCGCTCAGTGCCTGAGAGTCTTGTCAGCTCTGTTTTTAGCCTCACTTCTCCTTAGGAAAGGGGCATCCCTCCTTGTAACTTTTGTGGGGGTTTTTTTAAACGAGACCTGTGGTTTCATTGGAATAAGGAGCTCCCAGTGAAGAACCTCTAGACCTGCAGGTCACCACCTTTTCTGACATTTCACAGTCTTAGAGAGAAGCCAGGGCCACAAAGAGGTTAAGTGAATTACCCAGAATGTGGAAGAGGCAGAATTTAAACCTAGCTACTCCTGGCCCTAAGAGCAGTTCTCTAGCCACTGTATCATGCCCATACGGTAATTTATTTATAGTATATCATTTATATATATAATTTATCATTCCAATATAACAAAGAATGCAATAGTTATAAAAATATGTTAGCTTATTTCTTCATAGTCCTTCACTAGCTCAGCTATCTCTCCTTCTGACCACATACTAGTAAACTAGGGAATGGAGAGGGTGACTGGAACTTTCCACATCTAGTATTTTCCTAGTTGTTAGTTCATTCCTTCTACTGATGACCATAGAAGACTAGGAAAGGAGAAAATTCTGGTTTGTTGGAATTTTCTTTTAGATGAAAGGAGGGCAGCTTTAGGGGCAGCTAGATGGCACAGTGGGTAGAGTGTAGGGCCTAGAGTCAGGAAGACTCATCTTCCACAGTTCAAATCTTATCTCAGATACTTATTAGCTGTGTGTCCCTGGGCAAGTCACTTAACCCCATTTGCCTCAGTTGCTCATCTGTAAAGTGATCTAGAGAAGAAAATGACATACCTCTTCAGTATCTTTGCCAAGAAAAGGCCAGTGGGGTCATGAAGAGTCATACATGACAGAAAAACACCTGTACAACAGACAATCAGCCTGCCATGTCCTTCTGGGTACATTTGGTAGGGGTTCTTTGGGATTCTGCCCAGCAGTCAATCAAGTATTTATTAAACATGGAGTATTCAAGAAATTAAATATCAGTTAAGTTCCTTTTATTTGAAAGTCATTATGCTAGGTCCATCCTAAAGAACTATGACACAAGAACCATCCAGCTTTCTGGCATCCCTTCCTCAGCTGTGAACTAGCTGCATTTTTAATGTCTCAAATTCGACTCCTGATTTCAAATGCATTTCAAATCCATGACCTGCACATCTGAAGCAGAGAGAAAGCTTCTTAGGGCTTTCTGCCCTAAGAAGAAAGCTTCCTGACATGCCCCCTGCCTACCAGTGTCATTCTTGATTATTCTCTGGCTTTCTGAATTCTAGACCATACCTGCCTGGATAACCATTTCTGCCTGTTAGCCTCCTTACTTATTCAGCTTGAGCTGTTGCCTCCTGCATCTTCAATGCCTGGCTGCTCTTTCCAGCCTTGTCTACTTACTTCTTTTGACTGGTCTCCTTGTCCATCTTATAAGACCCTGTCGGATGCCTCCTCACGTGCCAGACACTCCGTCAGAGTGTCTCTTTGATAGCAGTATCAAACTTTGCCTTTACGTAGCACTTTAAAAATTTCAACACACTTTAACTTCTGTTATTCCATACTACGGTGTCCCTTTGAGATGACTTGAATGGGAGATATTTTTTTTTTTTAACCTCAGTTTGGAACTTAGAAACTTAGTAGCCAAGAGGTGAGGTGAACTTGAAAAAGAGTGCAGTTAGTAAATGGCAGAACCATATTAAAACTGTCTGGCCTTTTCATTAGATGATGTTGTGTGAAGGTGTGTGGTGTAGTAGAGAGTACTAGACTTGGTTTAAACCTCACTTCCTAGCTCTGTGACCATGGACTTGTCCCTGGGCCTCAGTAACCTCATCTACCAAACGAGGATAATACCTCTCATGCCTGTCTGCCTTGTATATCTGAAGCGCTTCACAAACCTTCCTAACTTCAAGAATCTGCCCTTTCATTGTATGAGTACCTCCTCTACTAAGATGAATCATGGCTACAATTTAGTAGATCATCTTCAGGAGTTTCTGTAGTCAAAAAAAAATTAGATCCACCCCAGCTAACTTGATGCTTTTTCAAACTGAGCTTGGTTGGTCCTAGCTAAAGGTTGTAGACATGCAGCCTATCCCTGGGCCCCAAATGTCAGCTGTTGTGATAGCTATGGTCTCTTCTCCCAGACCATGCTCTTTTCCTTTTCCTTTTCATTTCTATGCAACAAGCTTTATATAGGATAAATAGGAAATAATTTGTCCTTTGACCTCCATTGATGTTACCTCATTTGCATTCAGTGCCTGATTCTACCCCAAAGTGGAACAGAGGTTGGAATTCAAATAAGACAGAATGGTAGTAACTCTGCCATTGAGGGGATAAGACTATGTGTGATTGGAAACTTTTAAGAGTATCTTTAACAGGGGCAGCTAGGTGGCACATAGAGCGCCGGCCCTGGAGTCAGGAGGACCTGAGTTCAAATACAGTCTCAGATACTTGACACTTACTAGCTTTGTGACCCTGGGCAAGTCACTTAACCCCAATTGCTTTGCCAAAAAACAAAAACAAGAAAAAAGAGTATCTTTAAGACACTACACAAACTTGAAGATGTCCTTTTGTCGTTTTGCTTTATTGGAGTACCATCCCATAGCGGACTTTGAGCCTTGGTGATTTGACTTAACACATAGCCATGTTTCCTCTTCCTGACAGTCAACACCAGTCACCACTCATCCTCCTACAAGTCCAAGTCCTCCAGCATCGTGACCTCCACCAGTGGTCACTCTTCAGGGAACTCGTCTGGAGCCATTGCCTATAGACAGCCTCGGCCAGGACCACATTTCCAGCAGCAGCAGCCTCTTAATCTCAGCCAGGTGAGCCAACACTTTGTGGAGAGCATAACCAAATTTTGAGTTTTGTGTGTTGCCTAACTACTGGCTGCTCAATCGTACAATGAAGAGAGCACTAGCCTGGAGTCAAAAGGACCTGAGTTCAAATCCAGCCTCAGATACATACTAGCTGTGTGACGCTGGGCAAGTCGATTAACCTCTATTTGCCTCTATTTTCTTATCTGAAAGTGAGGATAATAACCACCTACTTCAGAGGGTTGTTGCAAGGATCAAATTAGATATTACTTGTAAAGCACTTTAGCTCAGTGGCTGAAACGTGCGTACTAAGCACTTCATAAATGTTAGTGATTATTATTGTTGTTGTTGAGTTGTTTTCAGTCATGTCTGACTCTTTGTGACCCCTCTTGGGGTTTTCTTGGAAAAGACACTAGAGTGGTTTGCCATTTGCTTCTCCAGCTCATTTCACACACGAGGAAACTGAGGCAAACAGGGTGATGTGACTTGCCCAGCATCACACAGCTAGTAAGTGTCTGAGGTCAGAATTAAATTCAGGTCTTCCTGACTCTAGGCCTGGCACTCTAACCACTGCACCACCTTTTTTTTTTTTCTTTTTTTGGTGAGGCAATTGGGGTTAAGTGACTGCACCACCTTGTTGTCAGGAAAAATTACCTCAGAACTTCAGCCTTAGGTTACCTCATCTTTAGCATTAAAAAATATTGTGCTCAACCCTTACCCGTATCACAGGGTTATTGCATAGATGAATTAGTTCTAATCCTACCTGCCCGCAGGCAATATGTAACAACTGTGTACAGACAAGCTTTATATAAGATAAATAGGAAATAATCAACGGAGATAAAGGCACTAGAATTGAGAGGGATGGGGAAGGCCTTTTGTAGAAGGGGGCATTTCAGCTGGGCCTTGAATGAAGTCAGGGAAGCCAGGAGGTGAAGATGAGGAGGGAAAGCCTATTCCAGGGGGTGGGACAGCCAGAGAAAATGATCAGAATCACTGGAGATCAGAAAGATTGCAGAGGCAGGTCTGAAAGGCTTTGAATGCCAAATGAGATTTTCTATTTGATCCTGGAGATGATAGGGAATCCCTGAAGTTTGGGGATTTGGGGGGTGACATGATCAGAGTTGTGCTTTAAGGAAATCACTTTGGCAGCTTCATGGAAGATGGATCGGAGGAGCTGTGACAGCCGCTTAGTACAGTAATCCAGCTGCAGAGAGATGAGGCCTTGCACTGTGTGGTGACAGTAACAGAAGAGAGAAGTGGGTATATATGAGAGATGTTCCAAAGGTGAAGTCAGCTGATTGGATCTCTAGATAGTGTTGAGTCTTGGCTGACACTTAAGTTGCAAGTCTGGGGGACTGGGAGGATGGTGTGAGGAAGGTGAGTGTTACTTTTGGCCGTACCAAGGACAAATGATTTAGCTAAAATCACAGTGCAGCTTGCCAGCAGTGATAGGACCAGAGCTTTACAATCTGCCTGAGTTACAGGAGCAGCGCTCCAGCTAATGAGCCCCAAACGTCCCACCTGCCGTCCCTCTGCCTTTACCTCCTACCCACTAGAGAGTCTAACCCAGTGTCTCGGTGCTTCTCGTTTTTAGGCCCAGCAGCACATCGCACCGGATCGTGCCGGCCCTCACCGGCGTCAGCAAGCCTACATCACTCCTACGATTGCTCAGGCTCCGTACTCCTTTCCGCACAACAGCCCCAGTCATGGCACAGTCCACCCTCACCTGGCTGCCGCCGCTGCTGCCCACCTCCCTACCCAGCCACACCTCTACACCTACACAACCCCTGCTGCTCTGGGCTCCACTGGCACTGTAGCCCACCTCGTGGCCTCCCAGGGTTCTGCTCGTCACACCGTGCAGCACACTGCCTACCCAGCAAGCATTGTTCACCAAGTCCCTGTCAGCGTGGGGCCTCGAGTCCTGCCCTCACCCACCATCCACCCAAGTCAATATCAAGCTCAGTTTGCCCACCAGACCTACATCAGCGCCTCTCCGGCCTCCACCGTCTACACTGGATACCCATTGAGCCCTGCCAAGGTCAACCAGTACCCTTACATATAAACACTGGAATGGGGGAGGGAGGGGTAAAGAGAGGGAGGTTTGATAGAAGGGAGGAGAAGAAAGGAGAAGGAGAGAGAAAGGGAGCACCTTGGATTGAGGTGGGAGCAAGGCTGCTTTCTATACAGAAGGATGCAGCTCACAAACAATGCGAATGGGGCAGGAGAGTGGGGTGGGAAAGGTAAGGAAGTGAGAGCTAGGGGCTGTCAGTGAAACTTGAACAAGGAAGTGGAAGGAGAGGACAGAGGAAAGACATTTTGAAAAAGGAAGGGACTAAGGAGGGGAAATTATTCTATGCTTTTTATTTTTAAAAAGAAAAAGGAAAAAACAATAACAAAAAAAACAAACAAACAAACAACAGAATCATGTATCCATTCTGCACCAAACTGGAGAGGAGAAGAGAGCAGCAGGAAAGTCCCAGAATTTGGGGCCCCAGTTTTTGAAGAACTTTACCTATAGACTTTTGAAAGATTATTTTCATATGACAGCAAGTGACATTTAAGAAGTTGCTGTCAGGGACACCTGAAACCGAAATCCAATAGGTTTTTAATCAATTGAACATAAGAAAAAGGGATTTTTCCAGAACTCTGAAGGGTCCACAGCCCTCCTGAGCATCAGGCAGTGATCCAAGGGCACCGATATGTAGTCATTTTTCTGGGGATGGAGAGAAGAGGGTGAGAGTGGGAGTGGGAGTGGGGCAAACCAGGCTCTTCATTGTCTTGAAGTCAAATTCACGCATTCGTGTTTGACGTAATCAGAGGAGGCCAGTGTGATTGAAGATCTCCTGGAGAGGGCCTCATTTTCCCTTCTGAGCATTCTGGATCAATCCCTAAGCAATGTTATTCCCAAAATGTCATTAATAATGTATGTTGAAATTCTGAGTTTTCTTCTCTGTTGGAGTTTTATTTTCACTTTGAATCCCTAGCCATGTAGGAGGTAGCAGAAATTTTAGCCCACCCTCTCCCTCCCTGCCTCCATGTAGGATGTAGCACTGTAGCCCTTTTTTTCTTACTTTGTGTTCAACTTCAGTGATACCAATAGATTATTCTTCAATGTGATTGCACAAAAAAGTGATATAACATAAGCATATAACAAATGTGATTGTCCAGGTTTGTGTGTGTGTGTGTGTGTGTGAGAGAGAGAGAGAGAGAGAGAGAGAGAGAGAGAGAGAGAGAGAGA